CTCTCCCCCTGCCCACTAGCCTTTGCATCAGTCGGGCCAGAAACTCTTAGAGGAGCCTGCACTGGTAGTCAGGGGAAGTTTGTTCAGACTCCCCATAAGTGTGGCACCATTCAGCCCCTCCCCTTGGGCAACCAGGGGGGTTCATTTAACAGCAGCACGTATCCCCTGGACTATTTTGTTCAGCTCTGACCCGGCCAGCAATGGGCCAACTAGGCTGAGCAGGTCCAGCCACTGCTGGGGAGCATCCCATCTGCAACTTGGTCTCATTTCTAGCCAGCAGCTGGGACCGGGAGGGAGGCAGGAGGCGAGACTGAGCAGCTGTCTCCAGAACCGGGAGGGACGGACAGAAGAGCAACAAATTACAACCAACCAGCCGCCTTGCAGCACAGCAGGGGGCGCCCCCTCCCCTGGAGTAATTTACACCTTTGCAAAGTGAGGGGCGAACCGGGCACCCCCGCCCCCGAGGGCATTTAACACTCACCCATGCAGCCCTGCAAACTGCGACACAAGGTGCTGGCCCAAGCCCGGCAGTGCGCTGATGCCAACCAGACAAGAGCAGCCGGCAGCAAGGCCCCCATCCCTGGAGTAATTCTGTGCTCACCTGGCCATGCACTGGAGAGCACACGGCGCAATCCTGGGCTACTCCCCAACCAGGCCTGCCCCATTCTCGGGTCTGCTCTCCGCGTAGCCCTAGCCCCGTAGGGAACCCATTGGACCCCCTCTGCCCAGGCCAGGGGGACGTCTGCCGGGATCCACGTCTGGCCCTGGCCGCTCTTGGGGCGGGGGCTGATTATAAACAGCTGCTGAAAATGGGTTTGAATTCGGGGGCAAAGCCATGGCTACAGCTGTATGTACCGGATGCTGAATATGGGCAGGCCCCCCACACCCTGCCAGGCCCGGACTCTGCCCGACACGGTGCAGTGGATTGGGGTGCCACTTGCTCAGCCTGGGATAGAAGAAATCTAAAGAACCGCACAGGGCACACCTGAGGCCACGACCCAGCTGCCTGGAGTCCTGGGCCCCCCGGGGAGCTCGGGGCCCCCAGCAAAGGGGCCGAGTGCTGAAAACAGTGCAGCCCCCCTTAGTGACCAGCTTGTGAACCAGGGTCAGCAGCCAGCTTGGAGGCCCCATGAGCTGCCGGTGCCCAGCCTGGAACGGCCTCTGGGCGCAGCCTGGGAGGGGAGGAGCCGAGCTGGCTCCCTATGCCCGTTGGCAGGGAGTGTGGGGGCTGCACCGGGCTGGGACCACAGCTGTCCCTTTCCGGAGGACGTAGGGGGAACCGCCCCTCCCGCAGCAGCTGGGGCCCACGTGACGGAGCCGGACTCACTGCCGCACTCCGCTCCGCCGTAGCCGATGTCGCAGAGGCAGGAACATTCCTCCTCCCGGAACCGCCCGTGGAGACACTGGATGCTGCACTTCACTGCAAGAAAAACGGGCAGTTAGTCTGCACCCGGCCTGGCGCTGGCCCCCTCCACCCCCCCGTTCCCTCCCGGCAGCGTCCCAGTGGAGCCAGCACAAGCTCGTAAACACCTGGGCAAGCACCACAGACACAACTGCAGGCTCTGCTATGCACACGGGGGCATGATAGTGACACCGCAGGGGACACACACCCTGCATGGGCCACACATACCCTGCATGGGTCACGCAGGTCTGCACACACACACACACTGCATGGGACACACAAACACACACTGCAGGGGGGGGGACACACATCCTGCATGGGTCACGCAGGTCTGCACACACACACACACACACACACTACATGGGACACACAAACACACACTGCAGGGAGGGGGAACGACACATCCTGCATGGGTCACGCAGGTCTGCACACACACACACACACACTACATGGGACACACAAACACACACTGGCGGGGGGGGGAACACACATCCTGCATGGGTCACGCAGGTCTGCACACACTGCATGGGACACACAAACACACACTGCAGGGGGGGGGGAACACACATCCTGCATGGGTCACGTGCGCACACACACATTTCATGGGACACACACACACTGACAATGTGGTAGCAGAGGATGGTTGGCGGATGCACCCTGTAGACGGTTGGCTGCGAGCGCAGGCGCTTGGCAGTGAGTGGCTGCCAGCGATAAAACAAGGGAATTGAAGGAACCAGCGTGGAAATAGCCTAGAACTAGCTCCCTAAAACGGACCTTGCACGTCTGTGCAGGGAGAGAGGGCTGAGCGTTGGGAGGCTCACCCGGGAGCAGCTGATTGCCCGGCTGGTAGAGAGTGACCAGTCCAAGGAGCAAGTTCCAGATTCCAGTGGGGCTTCCAGGATGCCTGGAGAGCCTGGGAGTAGCAGGGGGGTACGGTTCCCCAGCCAGGAAGGGGACATCTCAACCTGGGTTCCCCGCAGTGGAGGTGAAGAGACGGAAACTAGGAGCTGAGAGTGAAGGAGCTGGAGCCAGAGGAGCGGAGGCTAGCAAACTGCTCAGAGCAGCAAAAACATGAACTGGAGTTGGAGGAGAGGCAGGCCAAGAGGACCTGCCGTGGGGTAAGTGGGGAAGGACCCCAAGATGCCTGTTCGGCAGGAACAGATTCCAAAGTGTGCCCTGTGTAATGGGGGAGGGCTATCGATGCCAACCTCCCTGCCTTGGAGAAGGCTGGTGATTTGAACCAGACTGACCCTGCAGACAGGCACAGCTGTCTCACCCCCCGGCTTGATCCCAGGGCCATAGAGGTGTTCAGCCAAATGGACAGTGCAGAGACTGGGGACTATGAAGGTTCAAACAGGCTTTGCTGCGTACATTTGAATGGACCCCTGAGGCAGATAGGAAAAGATTCCAGGGTGTACGAGAAACCCTGGGCGTCACGTACAAGGAGGTCACTGTCCTGCTGGGAGAATCTCTCTGCAAGGGAGGAAAGGGTGTGGGGCCACTTCTGCAAAGGACGTGTATAATCTGGTTGGATTGGGGCAGCTGTAGGACATCTGCCCTCAGAAGCCCAAAGCCCTGCAAAGTGCAGGTAACGCTGGCAGACTTGAGGTTATGGACAGCAGACGGGGTGGGAGAGAGAGACCCACGTCGGGGACTTGGAGGGGGCGTCACCCAGAGACCTCTCAGAGGTGAGACTTCAGGAAGTGCAATGCAGGGGTGCCCACGAATGCTGGAGCAGGTAGACCCCCTCCAGGGACCTGCGGGACCTGAGATGTCATTATTGTGGGCAAAACAATGCAAGGTGGTGTCATGCCCAAAGACACAGGAAATTTTTGCCCAAGAGACCCCTTGGAGGTTTAGAAGGTGAAGGGAAGACAGCCGGTAATGCAGGCTTGGAGAGGGAGCTGTGTGCCGATCCCTTCAGAGGAAGCAGTCCCCCAGCCAGCTCCTGGGGCAGAGCTGGCCAGGGAGGAGTGGCAGACGGGCTTTCCCTCCAACCAAGCCCAGCAGATACATCTGCTTGTACCCCCTGGGCTCAGGACCCTCTGATCCCCAGGGGGAGCAGCAGGTGGGGGTCAATGGGGAGACATTCACAGAGTGGAGAGATTCTGGGACAGAGGCTCTTGTGGGTGTGGTGCAACCTCACCAGCTGCTGAGGGGCCATGTAACTTGGGGGAAAGCAGCCATTCACCTCCTGTGCAGACAGAGCCACAGGGAGGATGGGGGGGGCTGGTAGCCGGGGTCCTTCAGCACATCAGCTTTGACGTACTCTTGGGAAGTGACTGTGTCTCTTTAAGACAGGATCCAAACCCCGTGCCAGTAACAGCCAAAGATCTGAACCCAGAGGGCGGAAGGTGGAGAGGGCAGGAGCCAGGGAGCATGTGAATGGCCCCGGCGGGGAGGAGGGGATGTCCCTCCTGGCTAGTAGCACAAGAGAAGATCTCCAAGGCTCGAGTCTGCAGCCAGACCCCTGGAGCTGAGTGGGACATCGGCCCTGCCCTGAGGAGAGGTGGATCAAGCTGGCTCTGATGCGGCAGCGAAAGCAGTGGGCTCGCTCCCTGCCCTCATGGGACATGGGCGCTGGGGGTGGTCGGACCCCCAGTTAAGATCCTGTAGCGAGGACACATCTGAATGGGGCCCCAAAGAGGTTGGGGTGCAGGATCAGCTCCCTGCAGAGGTGCTGATGGGGGATGGGCTGAAGAACTGACCAGACGGTGCCCTGGTCCTTGCCTGCGGCTGAGGTCAGGGAGGGGCACCGGCAATCCAGCCAGCAGGGGTGTGTGGAACCTCCAATGGGGGAAAGGGAGTTGCCAGGGCCAGGGCTTAACAGGGCTGAGACCAAGGGGGAAACTAAGGCACAGCAATGAGGGCTGGGCCCCGAACCCAGCAGCTGAATTCCAGACCTAGCCGCAGAAGGATCCCGCCTGGAAGAAGCGGGTGTTGCAAGATCCTGGGGAAGGATCACAGGGAGGGATCCAGGTGAGAGAAGGGACCCGGTACCAGGAAAGGGCTCTCCGAGGGAAAACTGACCCTTGGGGGATCAGAGGGCGGCTGGTGGTCCCTCAGAAGTACCACCGGGGGGACGTCCCTTCTTCTAAATATCAGGGGGTTCAGCACACCCGGAGAGAGCTGCTGCAGAACGTTTAGTGCCCCGGAAATTCCCAGGGGTCCACCCTTTTGAGTTGGTGCAGGGGAGGAGAGGGAGGGGACCCCTGGAGTTGATGAGAAACAAACGGGGACTCGTGGTGGATTCTGAACCATGGTTCTGGAAAAAGCTCCCTGAGCTCATGGCTTTGGCCAGGAAGAATCTAGCCGGGGCCCGGGAACAGTAAAAGGGCTGGTACAACAACGTGCCTGATCGGGGACCGGAAGAGGGGTCTCGGCTCAGTGCGAAAACCTGGGGAGAGCCCTGGGAAATCAGCAACCAGCTGACGGAGGTGAGTCATGTGCTGGAGCTGCCCAGTTGGGCAATAGTACCACCTTGACATAATGAAGCTGTCCTTTGACAGGGAGTCTGTCGGTGCGGCTGTGTGCATGGGCAGGGGAAGGAGAAGGAGAGCCAGGAGCCGACGTTCTGCTGGAATAACTTCCCCTCTCTGACCAGCTAACCCCTGCCTGCCGGCAGAGATCAGAGGGGCTGCGTTGCTCCCTGCAGCCGGGCCTGGGCTCACTAAGCTAGCTGTCCATGGGGGGACAGGAGGTGTCTCCCGTTCACAGTCACGGGGGGAAAAGCCCGGGATCCAGAAAGAGAGATCAGTGACAAGCTGGCTTTAGGGGTGATCCAGCCCCCTTCAGCCCAGGGCCTCCCGCGTGGGATTTTTGTAGTGTGTTACAATGAATAGTGTGTGCGTGCCTCAGTTTCCCTGTGTGCTGCATGTTTAACAAGATGGAGGGAGAGGGTTTGTTGTTGCAGAGGACCAGATGTGACCTCGCCTAGCAGCCGGGACGCCCAGACAACGGCGTGGAGATGGGGTACCCTAGTGTCCGGTGACCTGGTGACCAAGAGACTCAGCCCAGTGTGGAAGGCAGCTGGTTCTGGCCAGTGGGAGGACAAAGGGCTGAGGAGAGAGGACCCCGGTGACCTGACCAACCAGTTCCAGCCAGAGGGGAACAAAGGATGGAGGAGAGAGAGCCCCAGTGACCTGTTTACCGGGGACAGAAGACAAAGGACAGGGGAGGAGGTGTTGGGGGAGATGATATCGGATGGTTGGCTGGAAGGAGGGGGCTGCTGGACTGGGGAGAGAGAGCAGCCAGAGCCCCCCTGGATGCAGGGGAGACCTAGATGTGCTGTGCTGAGGGAGGCCAGGCCTGAGGCCCTGAGAGTTTCCTGTGCTGGGCTCAGACGCTGAATAAACCCTCCTGTTTTACGCTGGCTGAGAGTCACTCCGGTGCCCTCTGGGTGTGGAGGCCCCGGGGGTCCAGAGCGAGGGGACTCCCTGAGGGGGCCCACAGTGAGAGACAGGCATGCTGAAGGCTCAGAGAGGTGCGGCTCCAGGAGGTGGAGTTGTTTAACCCCCGAGAGAGAGTGGACCCCCGAGACGGGCTGTCGCACTGAAGGGGGTTCCTCCCAGGGACCGTACGGAGCCGAGAGAGAGCACGAGGCCTGTGAGTCCGTGACAGGACGGGCCTGCCTGGGCTGGAGCCCGGATTCATGGAGGGGCGGGGGGTCTCGGAGCCCAGGCTCCAGCCCGAGTGAGAACGGCTACACTGCTGTTTTATCCCCCCAGCCCAGTGAGCTGACCCGGGCTCTGAGACTTGCTGCTGTGGGTTTTGTACGGTGGCAGAGACGTACCCAGGGAGCAGGAAGGGACTGGGCTAGATAAGCCAGTTCCACGATTCCTGGGACTCCTCAGGCCTGATTTCCGCTGTTCTCAAGGGTCCCTGCAGAAATCCTCAGGCTGGGAGAACCTGGGGGACTGGCCCCTTTAAGAGGGAGCTGGTAAACCTGTGAGTGGTCAGCTGCCTCTCGGCTGGGCAAGAGAGAGGGTACCTGGGCCCTAGCAAGGAGAAACTGAGGCAGCTGGTTGGCTGGGAAGGGCGGGGGGAGCTGCCTGACAGCAGAAGCAGCAGAGAGATGCCGGAGGGAGGAAGCTGCAGGAGAGCAGGAACTGGGAGCTGCTGGCGATGCGTGCTGGGAAGGCTGGGGAGGTCTGGCTCGAGCTGCAGGAAAGCTTGTGACCCCTATGAACAAGTAAGCCAGGCCCACAAGCCAGGGGCTGCTCTGCAGAGAGGTGCCCAGGAGCAGGGGTAGGGCTCACCGGCAGTAGGATGCTGCGGGGAGCCCTCCGGCAGAAGAGTGAGTGGGGGCTGCAGGAGGCGGTCAGGAGCCCAGGGCTGGTCCTGGAGGGAGGTTCCCTGGGCAGGGGTAGGACTGACAGGCAGGGAGGCCTGGAGGAGCCTCTCCCGGGAACACCAATGTGGGGCTGCAGGAGAGATGTGGGGCCCTGGAACAGGAGCTAAGGAACTGGGGCAGGGGGTTAGTGACTGTCGGGTGGGCGACCTTGGACAGTGACCCCTGACCGGGAGTGAAGGCTGCTGCGCGATAGCCTCGGCTGGCGCTGGGGTTGGGGAGGGCCTGTGTGTACCACGAGGGATCTGTGGAGTGGCTCCGTATATGAATTAAAGGGGCTCAGTTTGCTGCTGAGAGACACCATATTTCTTTGCATGGCTGGATGAAGGGGAAACTGAGGCGAGACTGTAGCGGGTTCTTGGGCTAGCAAAGGGTGAGGAGGCTAATTAGGCTTTTGGGTGGGGCAGGAGTGTCTCCCTTCACCACATCAGGCTGCTCCGCTGGCCCCATGCAGGGTTCCTGCCCCACTCTCCCTGCAACACGGAAATAAGCCCTACAAGGATGTTGTTGCAGTTCTCAAAGCAAAGCCAGTGTTAGCTACCCCCAGGCAACCCCCAGAGGACGGTAAAGTTAGAAGAAACAAAAACAGTGGGAAGGAGCAAAATGCACAGATAGGGCAGGCGAACGCCTGTAACTGCCCCTGGAGAGTCTCCAGCCTCTGCTCGCCAGTGCTGCTCATCCCATCCCTGCCACCTCATCCTGAAAATGCTTCTGCTGCGCAGGCCCACGCAGCCCCCAGCGCCAGCCCCATGCAGCCCCCAGGCGCCAGCCCCACTAGCCCTCAGGCACCAGCCCCACTAGCCCCCAGGCGCCAGCCCCACGCAG